GGCCAATAGAGACAAGTTGGAACTGGGACGTGACAAATTAAAGACCAGTTGGAACTGGGACCATTGAAAACCAATTGGAATTGGGGCCAGTTAAAGGACCACTTGAATTGTCCAAAAACACACAACACCCACAATTTTTTTTTTTTATAGAATACACAAATTTTCTATAGAAAATCGTTCAATTTATATACAATTTAATGTATTTTTTTTTTTTTTTATAAAATGTTTAGATTTCTATAGGGGTTTTAGTTTATAGATTTATAAATGGTTTTTATAAAATTGTTTATAGATTTTCTATAGTTTTTAAAAGGTTTTTAAAATTAAATTTTCATAAGACTTTGTATAGAGAATAGAATTTTTATAGTTTTTAATACTTTTTATAGAGTTTTAATAGCTTTTAATAGAGTTTTAATATATTTTTTATAGTTTTTTTTAGTGTTTTTATATATTTTTAATAGATTTTCTTTATAGAGTTTTAATAGACTTTTTATAGTGGGCTTCTGTAAGGTTTCTATAGAATTTTATATAGATTTTCTAAACAATATATTATAGACATTCTATAGTGTTTTTTAAATATAATTCTATAGATTTTTTTTGTATGGATACGCCTACATATATATTTTTCTCTCCGACAAACATTGTTTTTATCAAAGAGCCCAAAACACCCCCCCCCCCCCCTTCCGTCTCCACTGATGCCACCCCTGTAACAGAAGCAAAAGAGGACAGGGCTACGAGAGCTGTCCAGAACTCTTCGACGGTCCAGGTGAAGGGAAAGATTCTGGAAACTGTTACAATTTTAGATAGGAAACTAGGCCTAAATTAATTTTTAAAGTTTTAATTTTTTTTTCTAATTTTCCTTCTAATAATATAACTATGGTATAGGATTCCTATAAGATTCTAATAATAAACCTAAAGTTTCCTATAAGATTTATAATGATACCTATAGAATTCCTATAAGATTATTCTTTTTTTATTCTAATAATATACGGTACTATAAGATTCTAATAATATACCTATAGGATTCCTATAAGATTCTAACAATTTACCTAGAGGATTTTTATAAGATTTCAATAATATACCTATAATATACCTATAGGATTCTTATAAGATTCTAATAATCAACCAATAGGATTCCTATAAGATTTTATTAATACATCTATAGGATTCCTATAAGATTTTAATAATAAAACTTTGGGATTCCTATAAGTGTCTAATAATATACCTATAGGATTACTATAAGATTTTAATAATAAACCTATAGAATTCCTATAAAATTTTAATAATAAACCTATAGGATTCCTATATGATTTTAATAATAAACCTATAGGATTCCTATAAGATTCAAATGATATACCAATAGGATTCCTATAAGATTCTAATAATAAATTACAGTTAAGTGGAATGTAATGCACTTAAGTGGAATTCATTTGCACTTAGGTGGAAATGCATTCCACTTAGCTGTAATTCAGAGGCAAATGATAAAACGGCTTGCCATACGGAACTGCCAAAGACGCTCTAGTTCATTGGCTTATGTCCGATGGTCCGATTATCACTATTGCTTAAACTGGTATTTCTACTAGGCATGCGCACATATAAAAAAGTACCGCAATGAAACATTCATGTCATATATTATAACCGTAGCTACGTATAACGTCATAATAAAAAAAATAAAATATAATTAACAGAGGGTCAGAGGGGAATCCAGGGCATAATTATCTGCCCAGGTATGTGGCATGTGGGGCCCATGTAGAATAAACATGCATGCCCATAATGCATTTTCCCAGATATTTGGCACATATGGGCCCTATGTGGCGTACATGTGGGTATTCCTATAACTATCTGCCCAGTTATTTGGCATGCGGGGCCATATTAGAGTAAACACAGGCATGAATATATGTATTTTCCCATATGTTAAGAATATGAACATTCCCATACTTATCCACCTAGGAATTCAGCATACGGGACCCATGTAGATTGCACATGGGCATGCCCATATGAATCTTTCCAGATATTTGGCATATGGGGCATATGGGCCACATGTAGATTACAAGTTGGCATTCCTAAAGTTATCTTCCCAGTTATTTGGCATATGGGGGGCCCATGTAAATTAAACACTAGCATACCACATGTATTTTCCCAGATATTAACACATGGGCCCCATGTGGAGTAAAAGTGGGTATTTCCATATTTATCCATTGTTAAAAGGCGAATCATACTTAATATATATTATGTTATATTTCACTTTATTTATTCAAATATATATCAACATTAAAAAAAACAAGTTACAAATCGTGGCCAAAGGCCAAATTGGTAGCAACTTTTACAAAGAATAAAAGATCACAAATAGAATCCATACACACACACAAAAAAATAATAATCATAAATAAATAAATAAAAAATATATATATATACATACATACATATATATATATATATATATATTTTTTTTTTACACAAACACACACAAACAAACACACAATCAAACATATATATAAATATACATACAAAGACGTGCAAGTGGAGCAACTAGATAACTTGATTGTTCTAAGAGAGGGGAGCAGCCAGAGCCTCTGTCGCCAGGGAGACTAAAGGAGGAGGAGGGATTAAGAGAAATTGAGCAATTGAATGTAAAAAGGTATGGGACTATTAGAAAATCTTTTAGTTTTGCATTTAAGCTGTGAATAATTACATCCATTGCGTAGACTTCTACCATGAGATTATTGTCGAGTAGGGGGAATCAGATCAGCAGAATGATTAGTAAGAGAAAGGCCTTTAGCAAATTTGAGGCAGTGGGCTGCTTTCCTCTCTTAGAGGGGGTCCAAATTACAAAGAGTTCTAGCATGTTCATAGGTCTGATAGTTTTTTCCTAAAATAATACGGCAAGCACGCTTCTGAGTGGCCTCAAGTTTTGCACTAAGTGTTTTAGTGATTCCAGGGTGCCATATCACATCAGCATATTCGAGGCCAGGTCTTATGTATCCAGTATAAATAGCACAAATTTCAACTGTGCTCAGCCCAATTTTTTGAAGGTTATTAAGAATGAACATTTTCCTGTTAGCCTTAGCATTAATGTTGTGAATATGGCTACCCTATTTTAAATCATTCTGTACAGTGACGCCTAAGATTAAAGCTTCGTCACAAAAATCAATATGGGATTCACCAATGTAAAAACTTTGTTCTGGGATATTGCTCTTAGCAAAGCATATTTGCATGGCTTTACATTTACTGGGATTTAAAAGCAGAGAGTTATCAATACACCACTCATTAAATTGATTAAGGTCATTCTGTAAGAAACCTTCATGTGATATAAGTCGATTTTCATAAAATGAGAGATCATCAACATATTTTAAGTACTTGGTATTTGAACCCATTGCAGCCTCATTGATCATAATCTGAAAAGCTAAAGGTCGGAGCTTAGTCCCTTGTGGGACACCAGCCTTGAGACAAACAGAAGAAGACATAGAATTATTGACAGTACTTAACACACTGCTCTCTGTGACTGAGGAAGTCGCAAACCCATGGGACAATCGACTCCAATATCAATTATTTTGGATATTAGCACATTGTGATTGATGAGGTCAAAGGCCTTAGTGAAGTCCGTAAGTACGACCGTCCCAATGTTGCCACTTCTGTCAGCCGCAGAGCACAGGTCATGAATGAGGCGCACCAAGTAGTGACAGGTGGAGGCTCCCTTCACATTGCCATACTGTTTAATGTCAATACATTGACTGATGTCATTAAGTATCCAGTTACATACAAACTCTTCAGCCATAACATAACATAACATAACATAACTTTATTGAACATACACTTTTAAATCAGTGGCACACGTTTTTACAATACAAAATGAAAAATATACAAAAATAAAGGAAATCAAAACAGCATATAAAACTTGATTTAAAAAAAAAGAAAGACGATTAAGAAAATAATTATAAAGATAAGGTAATTTAAGTATTAAATGAATAATGTCACAGCCAATACTTAAATTAAAATGGAGTGTTAATTCTAGACTACTACAGTATTATTAAATCTATCAATTGACATTATAATTCATGATACACTTAATATTATATTAATTTTAATATAATATTGTTTCATTAAATAAAATTATCAGAGGTAATAACAATAGTATTATCAGTAATATCATCATTCTGTTTCCATTGGAGATGATATTGTTTTGTAAATTTATTTAAATTTTACAATAAGGTTTTTTAGAATTTAAATTGATAAATAGATATAAATTCAGTAAAAAAATGATAAATATATACATTTAATTTTCACAATTAGTAATTTAAATGGTGGGCGATAAATCTTTAAGTGTATTCTTTCTATACCTCCATGCAGCAGTTAAGTATTGTTTACAATGATAATCTACAATTTCACCTATTTTCTCATATGGAAATATTAAATATAGATCATCAAGTAAAACATGATGTCGGTATCCAACAGTGCCATTTATAAAATTTTCCCAAAATGCATCATACTCATGATACAATAGATCATTTTTAAGTGAGTTAAAATGTGTTTCTATTATGTTTGTAAGTTTTGAACACTCAAATAAAAAGTGGTCTGTATTTTCAATTATCTGACTGTTACATAGCTTGCAGAAACCAGACTCAGTATTTTTAGACCATGTATTCTTTCTACCTTCTAAATCTAGGGTGTTAGTTCTTGCTTTAAATTTTAAACTTATTGAATCGAAATTAACCATATCAAACAGGTATGTCTCAGCCTTAGGTTTGTGTTTATATTTTAAATAATCAGATAGTGTTGACTTGGTTTTTGCACGTTCAAACCATTCCTTGGTATTTTCTATAGAGCTAGCATATTTAAAACACTTAAACCATTGATTTTCTGAATTTAAATTAAATTTAGTTTCTAAGTCAAATTTATATAATAATTCTTTGATATGATTAATCCACTTCCATTTAACATTATCGTGTACCTCCATTAATGATCTACATAGAAGTTTTTGCCATCTTTGGTCATCCATAAGTCTATTAAAATAGGACATTCTAAACTTATTTTGTATGTGATAAATTGGTTCCCAACCTAAATCCCCAAGTAATGCCTCTTTAGCGACATTTCTTGGTGCCTTGAGAATAATTCTGGCCATTTGATATTGTAGGTTTTCTAACCACCTTGGCAAACGAGGAGGTAGGAGAAATGGGCCTCAACCTGTCAATACTTGGTGGCTGATTTTTAGGGATGGGTACGACAATGGCTTTTTTCCATTGGACAGGCAGCCTGCCCTCTCTAAACGAACAATTAAGAATATCAGAAAACGGCTCACTTAATTCAACTGCAAATTCCCTTAAAATTCTAGGCGGGATACAATTCGGCCCCCCGGCTTTATTTGGATTTACCTTTTTCAATTTATTATATACCTCCCATGGCTGAATTTGGGGAATCCTATCAATGGAAGGAAGATAGGCAGGAAGCTTGTTATAATCTAAAGGTGGTAACTCACAGGAAATGCTGGTGAATTGCTTATTTATTGCATTAGCAATCCCAACATAATCTGAGGGCAAAAGACCCTGAACTGGAACATTGAGTATCTTATTATTACCCATATATGCCATGGTCTTAATTTGTGTATGCCACTTGTGTGGTTCACTACACTGTAAGTACTTAACACGATTACACAAATAAATGGCCTGGAGTTTAGAATTTCTAAGTTTCCTCCATTCCGTAGTGTTATTAAAAAAGGCTAACTGTCTCCTATCAATTAAGTCTCGCAGGGCTTGAGTAACCCAAGGTTTATCCGACTAATGGATCTTAACTACTTTAATTGGGAAAAAATCATTAATAGCAGTGTCCAAAAGTTCATACAACTTATCCATTTTCCCTTGGGTGGTAAAACAGCAAGTAATATCTGACCAGTCCTGGCTGGAAATCCAGCGCCCGAAGTTGCAAATTCTTGTTGGATAAAAAGGACGAACTTTGATTTTGTTCACAGTATTATTTACAGTTCTGATCTTGGGTTTCCACAACACGGACAGGTGGTCATTTTTCCCTAGAGGAGCAAAAGCAGAGGGTGCACAAAAAAAAATTGTCAAGGTTAGTTAGTATCAAATCCAATGTAACGTTGCCACGTGTGTGTAATTTAACGACTTTTAAGACAGGTTCCGTTTATAATGTTGTACATGTTCATCCGGTTGAAATCTCCCATCACACAAAAACCTGTTTCAGGTGACCGTGAACGAATACCATCCATAGTTTCAATCAGATGATGTTCTAATAATGCTTGATGTGGAGAATTAGCAACTATGTAAACACCGCACAAAACAATTTGTGAAATCCCCCTCAGGAGTCTATGCGGCCTTATTTGAATCCAAATTACTTCTAGTTCAGGAGGTACAACAATGTTTATAAGTGGTTGAACATTCATGTAATCTTTCAAGTAAACAGCTACGCCCCCACCACGTCTATCTTCTCGACAGGTAGAGAATAATGAATAATTAGGAATGTTGACTCGATTTGGGTGATGGTGAGGTGAAAACCATGATTCGGTGATTACGGCTATGTCAATTTTTTCCTTGTTAAGGAATATATGTAGTACATCAAGTTAAGCACCGAACGTGCATTACAAAGCAGGATGGTGGGTAAATCAACTGCAGACTTCCGATCGCAAAATTTCACGAAAACGAAAGAAAAAAGACTTCACTAAATCACCAAACAGTACAGAAGAACATCCAAACATCAAAAGGAGGAAATTTAAATAAAAGAGGAAACCCACAAAAACAGAAAATTTCTAGTCACAAGCAGCAGCTCACTCAGCGCTTGTGCTACGTTTCGAATTATACGTGCTACGTTTCGAATTATAATACCACAGACACTTGAGGCATCACTATCTTTGAGTTCACAAAGACAACGTTGGTAAGTTTCTTTAGTTCTTCATTGACCAACAGCCAATTCATTCTCTACAAATTCCAATTTTTTTACAGAGCAATTATAGCGACAAGGGTATTTGTTTGAGCTAAAATTTTCAACAAATCCACCTATTACATGTGAACCTAAATTGTCTCCACTAATTAAAACTAGGCCCCCTCGGATAGGTTCATCGTATCCTACATCTATCCCAATTTTTTCAATTTCACTAATATGTTTGACAAGTCTCCAAAATCTGAGCAGCTCCAAAATGGTTGAATTTTTTTCACAGCAAAGCATTACCAACTGTATTTTACGATGGCCCACAAGGGACACACTGCAAAGAAAAAAAAATGCTGCAAACAAAAAAGAAACGCTGCAAACAAAAAAGAAATCATGGAAACAGAAAAGAAACGCTGCAAACAAAAAATAAACGCTGCAAACAAAAATAGAAACGATGCAAACAAAAATAGAAAACACCAGCAAACAAAAAATGAAACGCTGCAAACAAAAAAGAAATGCTGCAAACATAAAAGAAACGCTACAAACAAAAAATTAATAACACTAGCAAACAAATAAAGAAACGCTGCAAGCAAAAAATAAAAACACCAGCAAACAAAAGAAAACGCTGCAAACAAGAAAGGAAATGCTGCAAACAAAAAAAATGAAACGCTACAAAAAAAAAAAAAGGAAACCCTGCAAACAAAATGGAAAAGCCTTTGCGCGCGCGCATTTCATATTAGTTGACAACAGACTGAGGTCAGGTCAGATGAGAGATGCTAAAAAGAAGACTCAAATTCAGCTCATTCGTTATAATCGATTTTGAGGCATAAATACAAAGTAATCCGTTGGTAGGATTTTCCTAGCTCTTCCTT